TTCTGAGTTAGAGGCCAGCCTGGTCTACAGAGCCTTGGTCCAGGACAGCCAAGGCTACATAGAGAAACCCTGTCCTGAAAAACAAAAACAAAAACAAACAAACAAACAAAAACCCACAGCCTTTAAAAATTTTAACACGTTATAAAGGTACAACATCTCTTCAAAATACCCAAAGTCTCTTAACTTTGAATTCCTATTAAATAAAAAAGTTAGCCGGGTGGTGGTGGTGCATGCCTTTAATCCCAGCACTCAGGAGGCAGAGGCAGGCGGATCTCTGTGAGTTCGAGGCTAGCCTGGTCTATAAAGTGAGTTCCAGGAAAGGTGCAAAACTACACAGAGAAACCCTGTCTTGAAAAACAAAAACAAACAAACAAACAAAAAAGTTAAAGCACTTTTTGTTCTAGGAGGGGAGAATGGGAGGACAGTCACAATCAGATCAAAGCAAAGCCAGACTCCATTTTAAATAGGTTAGTGTCTGATGTCTGGCCTCTAAAGGACCCAGATAGTCCCACCTCTCTGCTTCTGCCACCTGTAACATGCACAAATGTCTGATAGGCTCAGGCTAGCTCCATGCCACACCTGGCATCTACAATATGCTGGGGTCTCCACTGTGACTGAGGCTGTGTGTTCACCAGTGGCCTCCCCTGGTCTCTTCAGGGACTCTGATCCTGTCACATGGTGCCAAGCCTTAGTTTATATGACACCTCCAACCCTGGGATCCACAACTGAGGCTCACTTTTACCAGTGGCCTCTTAGCCTCTCTGCAGATATACCAACTCTGCCACGCGGTGCCAAGCCTCAGCTGCTCTCCATGACCCCTTCACATCTTCAAAACTAGTAACATGTGGGAGACTCTTATATGTTACCAAGTTCAGCTGCCAGCTAGAGATGCAGCCTTGGAGCCCTCTGGACTACAGCTTCTGTGTGCTGACCCTGAGGAAATACTTTTCAGAAGATTCTACCACAGTGATGCTTGTCCCTTTTTTTTGTTTTGTTTTGTCTTTGTTTTTTCAAGACAGGGTTTCTCTGTGTAGCTTTGTGCCTTTCCTGGATCTC